GAAGAAGTAACTGTTGTTTTCTGGAATTATTTAGAAAATAAGAAATGTATAACAAAAAGACAAAATGTTATAATTATCTCTTTGAAATATATATGATAAAAATGTAGATTTAAGTTTTACAAAGATTTTACAAAGTGAGGTGACATATGCGACATGCTGTAATAAAAATTCAAAAGTCGAGAAAGTAACTGATCAAGAAACTAACTGATGTATATTTACTGTTGTTTGATTGTGTGAACAGTTTTATATTTGTATCACTGAATATTCATTCGCTCAAATTCGGCCGGTCTCCCTCTGGGGACGTTCGTGCATATTCAGCGAAAGGGAAATCATGACGGCGATATTTAGTATTAAAAAAAAAAAAAGAAGCTCGAAATACGATGACATTAAAGTTTTTTTGTATGCATAATTTAGTAGCGATCGCACGAAGGTGCGATGAAATCTGCGCGCATCAATTGAGATCTCTGCATCGGGACATCAGCAAACAAACTTAACATTCGCAAGTACGCTCGGTGCGCGTTAATGATCACATAAATTAATTCTCGATCAAAACAGCACGCAGACTCGTCCATAACTCGCCCATAGATTACAACTCGTCATCTCCGTTTGGATCTCTCCCTCGTTGAGTCCGCTATTCGGACTCCGCTAACTAACGTATTCGCGAAGTTTGCGAGGCCTTGCAAAACCGAAATGCACCCAAGGCGCGGAAGAACAGACCGGGAAAACATGGGGGACCGCCATATGCCCGAGGATACGAGCCCACTGACACTTGGAGGCGGCGGACCTCTTTTTATTCGTCTACCAAGTAACGGGTGACGGGAATAATAACGGCATACGGAGGAGAAAGAGAGAGAGAGAGAGGGGTTTTCGAGGCCGACCGGATTAGAGCTCCGGCTCCGTCTGTCCGCGTTCCGCCGTTATACTTGTCGCACTCGCGCCTAGAATCCGATGATGTCGATACGTGCCGCGGCTTCGCCACGCACCTGTGCGTGCGGTACGACGTTTTCCAAGATTACACGTTGCCGTGCGTACGCCGATCTTGTCGGTATATATATACCGAATAACACACATCGGCGTTGCCTCCGAGGTACATTTTTCGAAAGAACCGTCATATCTGGAAGTTCATAAATCATTTCGTTGAGCAGACGCATGGACAGCGGTAGCGCGGTAATTGACATGTAACTGAAGTGTGACGTGTGTAATTTTAAATGATAAGCATATAATATTGATTGGAAGGAAAAAAAAAAAACGAATAGAAAATAGCGGTTCTCGATTTTTATGTACCAATTTTAAACTTGATACATACCTGTAATAATTATTATAATTTCGTCAATGATTAATTAATATTACTTGTCTGTGCAAGTGGATGTCCTCTGTGTGCGTATGTGTATTGCTCTTATGAAACCATAATTAATTAAAATTTTTCTCGACGTAACAGAAAGATAATAGATTTTTAAGCTTAATAATATTTATGCGATCTGAAGCTATAGATACAAAATATATCCCAGTTTAACATGAATGTCGCTAAAATGGTAAAACATATTTTAAAAGATAAAACTATGAAAAATTATATATGTCACTTTTTATTTTATCTTTGGAAGAGAATTTTACTTGTTAACTTTATATTTAAAATAGAACAATATCGACATTATTATCTTCGATACAGATATGATTTACGGATACCTAGGTATAATTCAGTTCTTTTAAAGAAAATCCGGTCACCGGATAATACAGCGAAGGCATCTCTGATGCATCGCTGGCAGCAATAGAGAGAAGTAGAAGATAGATAGATGCCCCTCGGTTTGCAATCAGACTGTGTTGCTAATAAGAAACTACGAAGGCATGCCGACGTTAGGCGAGATAACGTAGGAAAAGCAACGTTAACCAGAAAGTGCCTGAGAGTTATTATGTATGTGGCGTGTACCTGGATACTAGGAGAGAACGTTGTTCAGCTCGACGAAGTACGTCGCGGACTTGAAATTAATAACCACACGGTAACTCACTTCTTGAGAATCGCATCCAAGTCCACTCTCGATTGTGGGACATGGAAAGGAATTTGCACATCGTAATCTAAGCGTATCCATCACGTCGCGGACAATATCACTCTCGTGAAATTTACCAGACGATTGTATGATATCTGTCTGAAAATTACGGAGAGTAAAATACGAATTTTAATTATTTCATTTGTTTGTGTGAAAGGAAAATATTTTACAGCTTATTAAAGAAAATTTCATTTTAGAATTAATATTTAAGATATATCGAATAATCAAGTTTAGAGCAATTGTATGGTACATATTTTTTTAGAATGCAATATGAGCGCGTTATGACTAATTGTAAGAAAATAAATTTATACTTATCATTATTTTGTGATCCTAAGAATAATAAAATCATATTTTTCCACAACGACAATGTTATATTATTTTTTATTAAATTATTAATTTTATGTACTAATTTTCATGTGAAAAAAATCTTGACTCCAAAATATATTTAATAATATTTAAAAATCCAAATAATATGTAAAATTTAATTTTAAATATTAAAACTACTTAAAATTACAAATCCGCTGAGAATAATATAGTAACAAAATAGTTCCATCGGTAATGGCCTCACCGCGCTTTAACCGAAGAATGCTCTGATCGGCGACTGCCGGAATATTTGTCCAGGGAAATCAGGCACAGTGTATAGAAATACCTGTTCCTTTTTTTTTTTTTGTACAATGATTTTCCCGCAGGGCTCGTACGTTCAGCTATGGGGAAGACCCGATGTGGAAGAGCCACGGAACGAGGAGGCGGAAGGAACGCGACGTACTCGCGCTCACTCGCTCCGTTGCTCGTGTAAATGCGGTTAATGGCAGAACCGTAATGCGGTTTACACGCATCATCTATGAGCAGGTACATGCGCGTATATGACTTGGTGCTTGCGTTCAACGTTCACGAAATTCGTCGTTTCTGTTTTTCCTTCGCCGTATCCGCCGCGTTTTTGAGAGTCACGTCGCATTTTTGCGTCGCCACTCGATCTCACCTCGGCTGTTTTATATCGAGAGCTTTTCGCATTCTCTGTTTTTCTTCAGCTTTCCACTGTTGAGGCCGCATCCGATATACTGTGTATGCTGTGTGCGGTGCATTACGATAAAACGTTTACATGAGAGAACGTATCCGTCGATTAATCCTCGTTTTATCCTCGTAATTGTGAAGAAAGCAAGATTTAATACGATTTCAAACGACGATTTTAAACGAGATTGTTATTTAATACATTTATTCGAAGGGGAAAGATTTGCATGTATTAAGTGGCTTTTCCTTCGTCCTAGCGCTACTGCATACTAAACAAGCGGATTTCTTTCTTTTAACACTTTTATCTTACTTTTATTTAAACTTGTGTACCCTGCGTTGTAGGATACACGAATTTACAATATACGCGATACTTTTACAAAATATTTATAATAAATGTTTTTAAAAGTTAAACTATCTATACAAATATTAATTTATTATTAGTAGAAACAAATGATTTTCGTAGACCAAGAATACACAGAAATAGGAAATACTTTTAAATGTCCAGGATCTGTTGCATAAAAATCAGAATTCTCTTCCTGTAAGGGGATAATGTTGACTGAACATCTGTAAATCGCGACGTATAGGAACATAAGATCGACTGTCGCGTGTCGCAGTTTTCCCGATGCCGCGAACAGAAAGGAGTACGTTTACAACAAGCGATACACGGGGAAGGTCGTGATAAATTCTGATGCTCTCGCTCTGTCGCGCCGCGGCCGATCTCTCCGCGGAGAGAAAGAGAGAAAGTGCACGAGCAGAAGTCGCGATTCCGAATGCCGTGGCATTAGTGGGAGGATCGGCATTGTCCCCCCTTTCTCCGCATCTTCCTGCTATCCGCCTACCATCTTCCTCTTCGATCTTTCCTCGCTTCTCGGCTCTCGACGCGCGGATATACGCCGTTAGATTTATTCAAACGCGTGAATCTACCGGGCGATTTCAAATGCCACCGCGTTTTCTCCCATCCTTTTTTTCTTCCCCTCCGTGTCGGCCTTCTCTCTTAGTTCGCCGCAGACGAACCCGGCGTCATTGCCAAGCTCCGTCGCAAATGAGAGGAGGATGCGCACAGTGAATAACAAATTAATTCTATAATGCTGAAAGAAAATTGTTTTTCCTTCAGGACTGTTTGATATAAATCAGGGATAATGTTATATTTTTGCATTTTTTTTACGCTTTTAATTTTGTGAATCTTTGTAATTATTCATACAAATCAGCTTTCTATCTTTTTTTTTATACAAAATTTATATAAAATATTTATATAAAATATTTATATTTATATAAAAAGAAATATGTTTTTATGTTTTTATATATACACATAAAAATTATAATTTTTAATATCTTAATTTCTCTTGTAATTACTTGTATATGTGGTCTTCTATTTTATATATGGCTTTCTATTCACTGTCAGAGGGTAATAAATGACTTTTTTTTCTATCTCCTTTTACTTTGTTTTCTATACGTTCCAGAGATGAAATACGATGGCATACATGCCAAGTGAAACTCGTACGAGCGATCGGAAGGATAAATTGTGACTCTTGCGGAAAACGAACGAGAAGCCCAACTATAGTCCGATTCTCTTCTCTTCACTGTTTACAACAAAGCCTGTCAAAGTTTCCGCATCGTTTTGTCGATCGACATTCCTTTTTCCCAATGAAACAGATCTAGCATTGTTGATTAATTCTG